TGGAACTATTTTGTGGGAGGTGCCTAAAATTAACTTTGACGCACATACATGTAGGGTTATACAGAATAATTATATAGATCAAATATAGATTGATTGGAAATATTGAATAAAATAATAAAGATCAAAGAGATTTCAAAAATAATACTGCCAAGTAAATCAACAAACCTTATGTATAAGGCTTGGAGTATTTAACTTTGAAATTTATTCAGATATTGTAGAATACTTTATTTTCATTTGGAAATTATTTTCGCTATTTTCGCTGAAGGCATGATTCAGTGAAAATAAAATCCAGCGAATATACTTTTTTTCCTATATTTCACATTCAACTCATCAAAAATCAGTGAAAATAAATTCCATAAAGAACGCCCAAAAAGCCTTTTCAGCGAAAATTAATTCCAGCGAAAATAAAGTATTCCACAGTACTTTGCATGACACTGCAGGACAGTGCTTGTATTCACCGTGACAGACTATCTGTCTGAAATTCAGGAGATAAACCATAGACCTTAGGTCTAGGAATACACAAATGAGGTCATCATATGAATCACTGAGATTAAGTGATTATAAACATTCAAAATAATTAAAGCTGAAACAAAGTAGTTTATAATAAATAGTTAGCAGCATAATAATTATGGATTTATTGCTAATTATGAGAATATGTCAATTTTCTACTATAATTTATCAGACATATTTATGTCATAATTAAATTAATACCGTAAGTATTATTCATTGGAGGATTCTGATTAAAAGTTGATGTGGATATAGACTGGTTGCTTTTAATACATAAACATTCCTTATTAGCTGCCAGAGGTTTGTATACCGATGGTCGTATACAGACGTTCATGTATCAATTAAGCGCAACCATAGCAATAACTGTATAAAATACACAGTATTGTGAAAAGAATTATACACTATAAGCACATATTTTGTAGAATCATTAATTCAAAGATATAGAGTAATTTATTTGTTTTTTTTTGCATTTCTGGTAAATTTGTTTTTTTTTGCTTTCCCATGATGCACCTGTTCAAAATAGAATCAGCAATAGATACTTGGGAATTACCGGTAGTTGTAAAATACACTAAGACCAGTAATTAAGGTATTCACCACATACAATGCAGGATAACATCTCAATAATTAGGATAAATAATGATAAATAATATATCACAAAACACATTATGGGAATCAAAAACTCATTGTCAATAAATATTTGAAATGCTTAAATCATCTTGCACATAACCCAAAGAATACATTCCATAAAACCATCTTCAGACCACCACGAGGCAGGTTTTTTTTTTCTCAAGTTCAAGACTAGTCTTGTTAAATTTCAGATATCAGATGACTTTGACATTCTTGACTATATCATTCACATGGCTGACTCTACAGATGGTAACACAAACCATCATGTCCTTGTACTAGATAACAACCACAAAGGACATCTGTGAACTCACTCATCACTCAATTAAAACCAGCGGTATTAAGTAAATGTTTTGTATTTAAAGTTAGTGTAAGAAACCCAATAATAAAACCTAAACAGACTAAACAATGGGATTCAGACTGTAGTAATGTATGATGACAAGACCTACATGGCGACTTTAATAAAACAGAATTAGAGTTTAATTGTTAACATATTTGCATACACTGTCCATGTGTTGATATCTGAGAGGGTTCCATGTGCAGTGTCAAATCTGTGTATAGGGGGGTGGGTGTGGGTGGGGGGGTTTTGTTGTCATTAATGGCAATAAGGCATGAGGTTTAACCTTGTGAATGTCAACTTTTGTCACTTTTTTAAGTAAACATACATGAACTTTCATCCAAGTGTGTTCTCAATGGGGAGTGATTTCTACAAAAAAATGGAACAGTTAAAAAAAAGATTTGTTGAATCAAGAAAATTTCATAAAAGTATTCGTTAACAAATTTATGGCTTGAATGCACTTGTATTAAACGTGTGTGTGTTGTTCGGATGTAATAGAGACAATATGGCACCTGCCAATGCCATACCATAGGTCATAGGTACAAGGTTCAATTAAGTCAAAACTCACTTACAAAAATTCTTGTCAGATTTATTGAAGCAGTGTTCTCTGCAGGATACAAACAGTGTGGCAGTACCACCACAGTGCTTTGCTCTACAGGCACACTGGCTTGACTCTGCCCACAGTCATTATCCCGACTACCATAGTGACATGATTGCCACTGTGCCATTGCTGACTTTTAAAATCAATTTGATAAGTACCGGTAGCTAAAAAATTGTGTGTATTTTTAGCACTTTTGAAGCAGTAAAAGTTTTGTAACAATAATTTTGTGCAATGTGTAATTGAGTAGGTTATTTGTTACAATTTTTGTTATGAAAATTAATATGCAAATAATATGCAAATGTATGCAATATACTAGTAGTATAAACATTTTTATAGCTAGTTGGTGATGGTTTGAATTTTTTGGAAGATCAGTGATTTTAATAAAGGAATATTAACTAAGTTCATTCGGACTAAAATGCAGAAAAGTATTGCGCCAATGTCATAGTGGCAACATACTAGTGGTGAAATGATTAAAGACCATGCTGTTAATGCCAGGGATTGTACCAAATATCAGCGGAGAATATCTTTGAACAGAAAAAAATATGGCTATCCTCTAAAAATAAAATACCCGATACCCCAGTAGTTATCAAGTCATCACAAACATATCAAGATTGTTTTACAAGTGATTACTGGTACTTAGTCTCTAAGCTAATGTGATCTGATCTAATCTGATCCAATTTTGATTGACATATCAATTTTGTCATCCTACTTTCTAACAGCACAACAGCCTAAGGTATTAAACTAGGAAGTGAAATCCAAAACGGAAAATTAATTTGCACCACATCAGAGTGAAATCCACTACTGGTACTTCTAAAAACAAATATAAACCATTAACCTGATTTGTTTACTACCAATGGGCTTATAATTAACTGAGTAGTCTGGCCAATCAACTCTCGCCATGTGTTAGACAAAGAACCCTACTGAGACATGTAAATATCGCTATAATATATATTTCTAATTAACAGATGGTAAGTGATTTGCTGATGTCAGTTTGGAAAAGTTAAAGGCTTACAGACCATCAGTAAAAAATTTTCAGAATACAATTTGGCATTTCTTCTTTACTTTGGAGAATGAATGGAGATACTGTACAAAGCAATAGTACAGTGTTACATGAACATTATAAGATTTGTATGAGGAGTTAGCGAAAGTCCCTACGAACATTGCAATATACTGTAAAATGACTAATTTTCACTGGGTTTAAATTTCGCTGATTTTCCATTTCAGGTATATTCAGTGGGTTTTAAATTCACGGTTTTATCATATAGATAATGTGTTCTATGCTAAATTTTACATATTCACTGGGTTTTAATTTAGCCCGTTTTTCCAGTCAGCGAAATAAGCAAAATTAAAACCCAGTGAATAATTAACCCTTTTACAGTAGCAAAAGACTTTCTTATCAGCACTATCAAATGACCTGATGTTATAAAAACGATTTGCTACATTTTGTGACAATCGTGCTATTTGATTTTGCCTTAATTAATTTTTGTTTACGTATGTAATAAAGTTGTTGTCCGTTTTCATATTGCGCCATTGTTTTGATTATACAAAGGAAGTTGTAAATTATCCTTAAAAATCTTATTTGCAGTGGCTTCAACCATCTGGCGGAAGTTGATGGGGTTATTGGAATATTGATAAGAACTTTCCCAGGAAAGTTACAGGTTACCCATAGGAATCTTGTTTGCAGTCGCTGTAATAGTATACGTGGTACTCGCAAGTATTTACCAGAAAGGTGTACTTTGCAGTGGTCTTCGCTTTATACATAAGTTATTTCACTATTTCTGATGGAGCAGTTATAAAGAAAATCCATCGACATAAAGAAAACCCAGTTAAGATTATTTTTGCCAGTTAAATGACTTGTGCATAAACTCTGCTGATTTCAGCAAGACTAGTAAATTCCAACTAAAAATAAAGTAATTCACAGTGCATGCTGTGCACGATTGGGCTCTGAAATTATAATCAAGTTAGAATTTGAAAAATTATATCTAACGTCTACGGGGTAGGTATCATATGGATGCTACTTTATTGATGCAGCTCTACATGCATGGTGATACTCACACGGTGGTACTCCCATGATGCATTTCAGGATATCTATTTCAACAGTATCAATAATGGCATCATTACATATACTGTAAAAGGATTAATTATTCACTGGGTTTTAATTTAATTTTGGCTGACTGGAAAATGTGCTAAATATGTAAAATTTAGCTTAGAAAACATTATCTAAATGATAAAACCGTGAATTTAAAACCCACTGAATATGCCTGAAATGGTAAATCAGCGAAATTTAAACCCAGTGAAAATTAGTCATTTTACAGTAGGTGCTGTGTTTTCTCTTTTAGTAGTGCCAGCGCTTACTCAAATGACAGAGGTGTGTCTATGGTCAAATCATATTTTAATGAAACCATACAATAAATGCAATTTTGAGTTGATGTACACTTTCAATACGCTTATAATTCAGCAAATACAGTAGTCATGTGTGAAAAACAGGAAGCTGACCTTTCTATTGTGAATAACCTGTTCACTTTCTTTTTCTTCAACTCTTCTTGGAGCCAACGGACAAAATTTGAGTCTGTTTTCAGTTTCTACTAAAAAAATGTTGGCTACATTCTGAAGGAAAGTGCGCGGGACTGTTTTGTGATGAAAAAAGGGAACTAGTGATGAAAAGGTTAACATGTCGGAGAGGAATGCACCATGGGAGAACTGTGATACACACAGGGGTTTATGTATTAAAGTGATGATACCTTGAGCCCAGAAATAATTCTTAGCTAAATTTTAAGTCAGTCTGGAGTTTGAACATCCAATAAGTCAAAGGCCTAATCTGTCAATTTTGAACCTTGCTTTAAATTAAGTTCATACTTGTCCCTATTTCTGAAAACCCTTGCCAGAAGGTGTTTCACAATATTGAGCTGTTGTTAATGGATCTGTTGATATAGGCACTGAGAGACTGATTGAGAGGGGATAAGTGGGAGGGGCAGCCAAAATGTTTCCATCAACAGAAAGTGTTAGAATAAACACTAGCTTCAGATAAATATATATCCTGTGATACAAGTAGGTCACTTAATATCAGAAGGAAGCAGTTAATGACCACCCAGGCCCAACAACAACCTTCATCAGATTTCACCCCTGCAAGGCAAGCATCCCGCAAGCTTATACAGTAGATACAAATAACAGGATTATAACTAAGCCCAATTTTATCGAATTATCCTCATAGACCACCAGCCATGTTTTTTTTTGTGTTTTTTTTTAAATATCACCCGATTATATTATTTATTAGGATGCAAGTCCTTTTTTTGAACTGTTGAAAATAATGTCAGAAGCATGCAAGGCATTTTTTTTTCAAGAGTTTTGAAGATATCTAAAAAAGAGTTGCTGTACATTTTTTGTTTCAACTTCAGGTATGTAATTGTGAATTGATCGTGTTCATACGCAGGATGGCACCACAGGCAGATACATGAGAAGTGCATGACCGGGTGCAGCTATTTGTGAATTATAAAAGAAACCCTGGAAGCATGCCATGAAAAGATCAAAAAATGATCAAAGAGTTGTGTTGTTAATAAGTTACAGGAAATAACCTGGAATGCCAATTGATTAACTACCAAAAGCGGTTTTACTGCTGGTTGTTATTGACCTTTGACCTTTTATTTCCAATGCCGACTAAAATAATAACCATACATAATTATTATGACCTATTATTAGCAACAAATTGTGGAATCAGAACGGCATGCCGCTGTGAGGTTCAACCGCAATAAGTGACTTGTTTTAATACAAAATAATTCCTGCGATGTCGTGGTACAATTATTTTAGACTTCAGAAGTTATAATAATTGTGAGGTCTTAGGAGAATTGCATCATTCTTTATTCGACAGACAGTTACATGACAGGATGTTGCAGGAAAAACAATGCCATTTTTAGATCTATTGCTAGAAATAATACTTTTTTTTTCATATTTTTTCAATGATCTCAGAAAGATACTAGTATACTGTAAATGCATTAATTATTCACTGGGTTTTAATTTCGCTATTTTTGTTTATAAGTAAAACTCACTAAATAAAATTCATGTAAACAAGTCAAATATGCTCAAAATAGTAATATAATGAAATTAATTGCCAGTGAAAACAAATGGTTTTACAGTATATCTTAGAAATGCACATGTCTGCGCAAATTCATTGCCACATCACTTAACAAAACAGATAACAACGTCAGCAATAAAAGCTTGAAAAAAAAAAATCTAAAATTAGTTTGTCCACAATTTTATTACAGATGCATGCAGCTCTACTTATATTCAATTGTATACAAAATTGTTTTTTAGTCGTGCTTATCTGTCTCGCAAGAAATGCAGATTGTGTGTTCCTAAGTTTACACGCATTAATATTTAAATGAGAAATAACTCAAGAATATATCATGATTTCAGGTACCAGGATATGTGACCTGTACGAGTGGTGAATGACTTTACAAACAAGCAAACAAAGCTTAGCAATATATAGACGCTGTGGAGTAAACACAAAACAGGTATTTCCATGATATGAACGTAGTGACCTCACCTCCAATGAACTCACCACAACATTTAATTACAAAAAAGGGTAATAATTTCAAAAGTTTACATAATGACAACTAAGTCACATGATACAGTATGCGTGACTTGCATAAATTATTTACTTCCTCCTTTGGTGAGTGACACAGTGACTGACGATAAAATTTGAATGGTCAAAAAATAAAGTCTTTGTTATTCTGACATGGTGTTGTGCAGATAAGTAGAGTAGTCGAGAAGACTATCAGAATTAAGTGAAGTTCTTGGATTGGAAAAGTCTTTCAACATGTACAGATTATAAAAGCGATAAGACTTGAAGCACTAATAAATTAAATATGCTTCTCCAACTCAATTCTGAGACTATTACCTCACACAGTGCTCAGTAATGATTGTGGTATTTGAAACAGGAAGGAAATCAGTAGCTAAATAATATAAATATGTGAACTTTCATAATAACATACTTGAAAAGGAAAACCAAAACCAATTAAAAAAACATCACATTAATTTTCATGCGTTTTTTAAAGTGAAATTTAAAATAAAAATTATATTGAAGTAAAATGTCTTGTTGCAAACTACATCCGAAGAAGTTATAGTATTTATGTGATGTACGTTTTAATAATTTTATTTTGAGAAAAATTCCGTTTTTAAAGAAAATTACACCTCTCACGTTTTTTTAAAAGCAAAATACCCCCCCCCCATTAAAATCACAGTCAAAGTATAAAAACAGTCTATTCAAGTTAAGAAGGTTGTAAAACATATTGAGAGTAGAAAATAATGCTAATAAGAATATCAAGACTACATGTCTTGATACGTTATTCTAGAAAAATACCTACGTTATACGTTATTCTAGAAAAATACCTGGTCTAACAGAGTTGCAAGAGAGGAAATGGGAGGGAACTTGGACATCAAGAATAAATACAAACAACACGGCGACAGTACAGTATAATTTGGCTGAAAGCAAATTGCAGAAATACGTCCCAAGGCACTACTATTACAACTATATTAGAAAACATGTTTACCTATATTATAACTGAACTAGCACACTAATTTACGTTAATATCATGGACACGTACAGCCGATGATCAGTTTTGTTTTGGCTGATGGTCGACCAGCGATAGAAAAGTTGAAATCAACAACTGACATACCGACAATTTTTTCAAAACTTATAAACATTGATTTAAAAACTTGCCACCCCCACTTACCAACTCCGAACTTCTTGTCAGTTGTCGCTCGCCACATGGTAAGCACAATTCACGGTAATCCCAGTGCTGGAGGGAGGGAAAAGGGTAAACAACGATGGCCCCTCACGCTGTGATCCAGGCCCACGCCTGCGCCATATTGCATAGCCTTATATCGAAAAATCAGGTGGTCCGGCTCATTCCATTATTTAGGTAGGGGAAGTGTAACTAATTTAACGTTTACAGAAACATGAGCTCATGTGATTGCCATCTCAAAACGACTAGGCGATATAGGACATCTTTAATATTTGGAGAAACAGTTTTTTTAACCTAAAAATGTGTATTGCTAATTAAAATAAGAAACTAGAAAAATAAAGATTATTAATTTCAACCCCTGGTTATAATAATAGTCGAACCAAGAACCCATAGATCAATGAAGTTTATTATAATATCTAATTTTCAAAGATGGCCGAGGGAGGGGGTAAGTGTTACTAAGATTGGGAACACATTTCAGATATTGCGATGTTTTTCTGTACTATGAATGTATGCATCCAGTTCGGTTTATCTGTTTGTGTTGTTAGCGTCGTGCATGAACTTAAAACGATGATGTTTTTTTTTTATATAACGCAATTAATACACGTAGTATATTCACACATGTCGACTGACGAATTGCCTGCACCCATGCTGGCCAGCATATGGGGACCCTATTAAACTGGAATATACTAACAAGATTGGTGATAGGACTGAATAAATAAAATACAATTAGTGTTTGCAAATTTAGGAATGTAAAGGAAGCCATGATAAAATAAATGTTAATGTGGGGGGGGGGGGGTTGCTAGATTTTAATGCCACCCTCCCTACCCCTCTCATGAGTATTTTTAATGTGTCATACAAAACAGTATGGTCGTCACCTTCCTTATTGTCCATTCTTAAAACCCCCGAAAAATAGTATAGTATGCATAGTCGTTTGTTTGATATCCAAATGAGATAAAAAGATCTCATTTGTTGCATAACTTGAACTGCCGAGGTATATACCGTACCCCCACCCCCATATTTATTGTTGAATGTCATGATTGTGTAATTTTAATGTTAAGACCTTCAAAGTCACATTGTCACAGACAAGAATATCAAGAGCCATGATGTTCAACACAAAGTAAAACCAAAATCAATGCCGCGGCCAGGACGAAGTGTTTCTGCTAACATTCATATTTGTCTGTTTTCTTCAGATTTTGAATTAGAAATCAAAGTGTCCATTTCTATGTGAATAAACACTGTAAAACAAATCATAAAACAAAAAGGGAATGAAAATATCGGTGTGGCAATGACACTCTCTGGCTGGATGCAGAGTCTTCGATATTGATGTCAAAAAATACATATAAATAACTCTGTGTCAAATTAGATGTCTATGGGATATATTGAAATGTTTTTATTTTCAAAACTTTTGAATTCTGTTTAGTTTGCTGCATTTGCCAGTCATCATTTTCAACACTTACACAATGACAATCACTGCAATGAGCGCATACCTGCATTCATTTGCATATGAATAGAATGTAACACTGGATTAACCAATCATTAGACAAAATTTTAATAGGGCATTGTCCTTGTGTGCACTCATACGAACATCTTTGATGAAGTGGTTATGTTATGACTTTTCAAATGAGTCTGGGAAAGATGTAATAATAACAGAACTCCATGGCTTCACCATGATGTTTGTTGAGTATAGAAGTTGTTTTCACTCATGATATTATGCATCTATGCTGTATTTGGCCACATGTACTGCATCACTTGCTAAAATATCATTCATACTCCGATGGAAATAGAATCAAGTCACTGAACATGAACAATCACACAGTCTATTGTGACACGTCTAGTGTGTTTTTGTTGGCATTTTGGGCAGCATTTCTCACTACATATATTTAAATTATGACTATGAAAGTATGAACAGACTTAATGTTATCACAAGAATATATTTAAACTATATACTGTAAAATGACTAATTTTCACTGGGTTAAAATTTCGCTGATTTACCATTTCAGGCATATTCAGTGGGTTTTAAATTCACGGTTTCATCATTTAGATAATGTGTTCTATGCTAAATTTGACATAATCACTGGGTTTTAATTTAGTGCATTTTCCAGTCAGCGAAATAAGCAAAATTAAAACCCAGTGAATAATTAATCCTTTTACAGTACATTTGGGAATACAGGAGACATACAATGCTATGCACCTATCAATATTACTACTAGACGATGTTTGTGTGTATTTTGTGACATTCATTGACACAAAATTTACATTTGTCACTGTGTCGCCTTAACTTACGTGTCATATTTTTGGGTATCTGTATCCTACCATATAAGGAAATCAGAATTCCAAATATTACACATTGTTTCCAAGTCGTTTTTGTTTTCTAACAATTTTCACTATTTTGCTTTACTCTGGGCTTCCTGAACTAAGCGATGGGTTTGAGACAATGTACAAAAATAAGTTTATTATGAGGATACCACAAAGTATAAATGAAGACAGTACATATTTGCATCAGCCTCCACAACTCATTGGACGATAGTCTTGTACTGTCTTCGTGCATCCTCGCAATCATACCACTATACAAGAATTAGGGGAATACAGCAATTAATTATGCATACATTATTGTAGTATTTATTTTGACCACTTGACCTATTCAACAGTTCGACATAAAAACACAAAAAACACCTTTAAATCAGGCTGTTAAACTTTTACACACCTATGACATGGAATAATACTTTCTGAAGACTGGCCATTTTAACGTTAAAAATTCACCAAAATCAAGCATTTTTGTGATGTCGAAAACAGATCTCGGTCATGAATGGATGAATTTTGTTCAAACTTCAGACACACACGGGACAATATAATGCATTGATGCATAAAATGCATATGATGAATAATTGTTTGTTTTTCAGATCGGATTCAAAATGGCTGACTGGTGGTCATTTTGTATTAGTGAATGAAGTTCAGATTTCATATATTTCTTAAACGTGATAACTCACACTCTAGATGTTGCTGGCTATAAATGAATGTTGTTTATTTCATCAGATTCTGTCAGCGGTGATCAGAAACAAAAAAACTACAATGCTGTACTTGAGCCGCTGTCATTCTCAGAATGTGCATCATCATCGTCATGCATACCAGAGAACAGCACAACAGCGTGTCTAGTGTGCAATCATCCATACGATATGGTCAAAGAGAAAGATATATTTCTAAAGCACTTGGCAGTTGATCATAAACTGATTATCGGAGATGTTAATCTCATCTGTGATTTGAAAAGGTGCGTGCTAATATAGAAAGTGATGTAAATTTGTTGTATTGTGCCTCGTTCAATTGTTTTGTTGTGTATGCATAGTGCATAGAGGTCGAAATGAAAAAATAATTGCTGGTTATTCTAATGAAAATGTAGTTTTGCTATAATTATTGTGCGTCTATAAACGCTAGAGAGTCACTCAGACTTTTTCTATATTTTTCTCAAAGGCAACAGCAATAAAACTTTCAGCAAAAATATAGGTATACATTTTTGTACATCATATTTTGATAACACTGAGCTACTTGTTTTTCCATTTTTATTGTCATGGTTGTATCCGTAGGCAACCAGTTTTCATATTTGATTACTCTATGATAAAAGTGGTTGTCCAGGGCAACCAGACAACTGTCAATTTTGTTAAATAAATGTGATCATACCAGCAATGCCAAAGACAAAAAATATTTTTAGTTTTTCGGTAACCCTTATTTTTTTTCAACCATCATTTTCAATTTAAGTTTATTTTATAATAATGATTTTAATTTATGTGAATATGAAATTACAATATACTTACTAGGATTTACTGTTTGTTCATTTCTAGTTATGTTGAGTATTGGTGGAAGCGATTTCGGGAGAAGCCAATTACAGAATTTTGTTATGTTTTGATAACGAATAGCAGGCCCATTGATAAAGGTATACTTGTACCTCACTAATATTTTTTTCTGTCCATAAAATATTGAGCTACCTCCATATCTTTAATATTTTGTCAGATGTCAGATTGCATGTCAGTGAGATGTCAGATTGCATGTCAGTGAGTTAGTGAGATGTCAGATTGCATGTCAGTGAGTTAGTGACATTTTACCAATTACTTTGAGGTTCAGAATTGTAAACCTACAAGGACCCATACAATAACATATACCTACATTGGTAATTCAACTATCCATAGATGTGTGAAAAGTAAATTTTGTAAATACTCTATTCACTTTATTAGTAGTTCATGTGCTTACATGACAGAAGTGTGTTATTAAAATAAGTTATAATTTGATGATCAAATCTACAATAAATATAATTTTTAGTTATTGGCATTTGTATTGGAGGTGCACTCCTAATAGACCAAATACGGTATATATATGAATGTAGTTTTGTGAGACCATTGTATTATGATTACATTTTTACTAGGTCCAAAAGAGAATTATTATTTTTTAAGCCCCAAGTTACCAGAAGACAATGAATTGAGAGAGAATTTACAGAGGAAGCGATTGAACTGGATTTTAGAATCACAACAGAAGGAAAGAATTGATCAATCCTTTTCCAGAGGATGCTTTTTTTGTCGACAGCATTTTGATGGAAATAGAGCAGAGTTTTTAAATCACATGGCCAGAGATCACGGGTTCAGTATTGGTAAACCGGATAATGTGGGTAGGCTTATCATACTTTTTATTAGCTCCGAGGCTTATCATATGAGTGATTGTCCGTCGTCGTCGTCGTCCGTGTCAATGTTTTACTTTTTCGACTTCTTCTTGAAAACTACAAGCCTGAATGCTTTGATACTTGGTGTATATGTACCTTGGGTAGGTACTACAAGTGGACCTGTCTCAGATTTGTTCATTTTGTAATGATATCTTTAATTCTCTAATTTTGGTGAATATTTTTGTCATTTTTGGTAAAAAGTGATATTTCCAACTTCTTGTTAAAAACCGCAAGTCCAATTGCTTTGATATTACATACATAGGTACTACAAGTGGACCTGTCTCAGATTTGTTCATTTTGTAATGATATCTTTAATTCTCTAATTTTGGTGAATATTTTTGTCATTTTTGGTAAAAAGTGATATTTTCGACTTCTTGTTAAAA